TTATTGCGCCAAAGCTCCCATAACTAGATGGTATAACCGAGATTACAGATTTCTAGATCCAACCGATAATTGACAACCGTAAACCGTAGCACAGGCTATTTTTCAAAATTCGTCGTCCATGGGATTTGAACTCTAGACCTGCCACTTGGAGATAATGATGACTAGACCACTACACTAAGTCGCCACACCTCTATGTTATGTGATATAATATAATATAATGTTTTTATATCTGGATATAAATTTATATCCGGATTTATACTATGATAAAACCAGATTAATCTGGATATAAAAAATAAGGGATAGCTGCACAGCGTGTGATACTGCACAGAACCAGTACGATCATTTGTGCAAGTTTACTTTAGTGATTGTTTTCCTTTACTATAACTGCTGAATACAAATTCTATTTTATATATCAGATCTACTTTTATTTTTACTAGTTATTTTTTTTTTTACTGATTAATTTTTTTGTTAGAGTGTAAGAGGTTTGGGTTTTTTATTCATTAGTTTATAGTATTTTATAATTTTATTGTATGTACTTGTATATATTAGATTAGAAGTTATAGTTAAAGTGGAGACTTACAACTCCTATTAAACTTTCAATATATTTCTCATTTGATTATTCTTTGTAGTTTTCTTTTTTTTTAAAAAAGTACTTTTAATTGTATAAATAATATAAAATTAAATTCATTTAAAAGCTAATTATAGGAATGTTTGTGTATGAAAGTTTGAAGCTTTGATTGGTTATTACATTATATATTGTTTATAGTTGTTTGTATAATAGTAAAAGATATTGAGCTGATTTTACATGTGTTGTGAAACTTTTAAAAAAATTATTTTTCAATGGTTAGCTGTTATATATTATGATTATATTTCTCTATTATTTTTTTTTATAAAAAATGGTGTGAGATTATAATCATAATGTGTAATAGCTGACTGATTAAGTTTTGTAAATTATTATTGTTTTGGTTTTGTACTTGATGTATGTGTTGTAAAGTTGACGTAAATCTTTGTTGCTAACCATTTTTGTATAGGTTTTTTATTTTTGGGATTGTTTTTTGTATTAAGTATAGTTATTATGATCAGATCTGTATTATGGATTGATAATAAGTTTTATTATTTAGCATTAGATCTGTTTGTCATTGTTTTATTTTTTATTTTTCTATGTTTGGATGATTATTCAGTAATTATGCAACTTGAATTGATATTATATATATAGGTCGTTATTTAAATAATCAATTTAGATTTTTTTTATTTTTGTATTTTCATTGATATTGCTATTTAGTTTAAGTTTTAAATTTTTTATTTTATTTTTTTTATTGGAAAAATTGTATTAAATAGTTTATTGTTAATTTAGATTATATATATATATTATATTGTAATTAGTATTTTAGGAATTATTTTGTTATTGTGACGTTGTTATTTTAATAGCTATAAATTTGCATTATTTTTTTTCTTTTTTATATTGTTTTTGTTTGATATTATAATTTTCAAAATGCTATATTATATTGATATATTTGTAAAGATTAGCCAAGTTCATTTATTCAATAAGGAAGAGTTAAAGCTAACTATTGCGCAGACTACAGGTGTTTATCCTATTGAGAGTGAAGATTGTGAATTGGAGATAGTTCTATTTGTTTCTATATATAATGAGGAGAGAGATCCAAATACGCAGTCAATTTTTGAAAAGGATGAATATTACAGTATTGGTAGAAAAGTTGTGCCTGAGTATTCTGATAGCAATTTAGAATTGAAAATAAATTATCTTAAGAATATTTTGTGCTTCTAGTTAAAATTCGCATTGTTAATTTTTTTTTTCTTGATTTATATGACTGTTTCAACGTTTACTTGCTTTTTAATTAGAAGGGATCTTGGTTCAAATCAATGCCCATTAAAAACTTCTTTAACTGGCATTGCACAAAATATAATGAAAGAGATTGACGAAGAGTATGCTATTGTTGATGTATTAGTAAGAGACTATGCTAATCAAAAGCATTAAAATTTTGTAGTGAAGATTGTGTTTCCATATCATAATAGTAGATTTAAACATTTGAAGAGTTTTATTCAACCAAATGAATCAGTTCTTTTCATTGTTGGACAGATCAAAGTTATTGAAAATAACTTATATGCAAATGCTGGTAATATTTTCTATATCAATATACTATCTGTTACTAAAAAAAAAGTATCATGTTTACAAAGTTTACAAACTACACCCAGATTTTATAGTTCTGTTTGATCAAAGCTTTTAATTGCTCATCAAAGTGCTTGTAAAAATTTAAATAAAACTCTGTGCTAATGAAAGTAATAAAGTTACGGCTGATTTAATAGTTGATGATTATCATTTGTCAAAATGTGCAAAAGTAGAAGATAAAATGAATAATTATGTTGAGCACGTAGAGTTAACTGATAATGATCAAGATGTATTAAAGTAGAAGATAAAGCAGATGATCATGTCGAGTTTGTTGATTCATATTGTGATAAAGATAATCATGCTAAAAAAGTTAAAGATGTTAGAGAAAATGTTAAATTTGAAGATAAAGAGAGCTAAGTTGTAGAAACTTGAGTAAAGATAAAGAGAAAATGATTCAACCTATAGTATACAATACAAAACATTGGAATAAGTCATAAATTTGGAAGAGTAAGTGATTGGTAATTTACTATTTTGTTTGTTAAGTAATTATTCAGTGTTAGTTTATTTGCTTACTATTATAAAATTATATTTAATTAGTTATGAAATTTATTTATTTTTTTTTTGTTTTTGATTATGATATAATTTTATATTTTTTTTTATTTATTTGATTTTTTTTTTTATTCAATTGTTAAAATTTTTTTAAAGTGTATATTTTGTTTTATTATTCAATGGTATTTTAAGATTGTAATCTTTATATTGTTAGCATATATGATTTATAATTTTCTTTTTTTACTAAATGAAATTTGATTTTGTGTTTACTATACTTTTACAATGAAATTCAGGTTTAATAGTTGAATTCTTGGATATAAAGTTTTATTGTTTAAGGGTAATTTTATTGGAAAAGGTTTAAGTTTTGTTAAGAATTATTATAAAATGCACCTATAGTGTTTTTACACCTATATATAATTTCTTTTAATAAAATTTAGAGTTAGGGTTAGGAAATTCAGAATTATTTTTTTTTTATATAATATTTTATAAAGCTACTATAAGGGCCCGATAGAGCCCAATCTTAGTTCTTATGAGGTTTTTGGGGTTCTGACCATTTTTACTTAGATGACCTGATCCTATTTACTTAGTACGTTTTTGAGAAATGAGACCTATAGTATAAAAACACCATAGATGCGTTTTAGTAAAATCCTTTGTTAATGTAACTGGCTTGAGTTGAGGTGGTGTTATGTTAAATTTTTAAGTTTTGTTATAAGATTTTTAAAATATTCGGTTTGTATTTTAATTGATTTAGTTTTTTTATTGTGTATTTAAGTAATCGAATTAAATTATATTGTTTTTAAAATTTTAGTTCATAATATACTTTAAAGTTTATATATATTTGTTAAGTAATTTATCTTTAAGAAAATCTATATATTTCTTTTAATATTTTTACAAGTTATAATATATTTAACTTTATATTGATAAATTTTGTATATTATTTTTAAAGATTTTTTGTTGCAGTATTTGTTTTTTAAGGTTTTTTTTTAACTTGATAGATTTTTGATTGCAAAAAGAACCTAATTGTTCGAGTAGATTATATTAAAAAAAAAATTTGAGATGAAAGATAATGTAAAATTTGATGTCAAGTTTAGCAATTAGTGTGTTACAAAAAGGTTAAGTTTATTATTGAAGAAATCAATTTAGTTGAATGTATAAATGTAGAAATTAGCACCAAAGTATATTTGTATAAATACTGTTATTAAAAAAAATTTAAATATACAGTAAAAGTATTAGTGGATATTAAAATAGTTTATTTTTTTTAGTATAAACAAGTTTATTTAGCTTAGTAAAGTTGTAATAATATTTTTTTTGAGTAGGATTTTTTAGATTATTAGCCTTTAATCTTTAAGGTGGATAATTCGAATATGGAAATGTGCTTAATTGTATATAAAGTGTTTAACAAATTTTTGAGGTTTAGTCTTAATTGTTACTTTTAAGTTTGATTGAATTTGACATGTATATTTTAATTTAAAAATAAATATTTTAAATTATATAGCATATTTTGCTTGAGCAATTATAATTTACAAATAATATTCTCTACGTATATAATGTTGAGTCTATATTTCTCAATTTATTTTGCATTAGGCCGTGCAGATAATTGTTTAGTCATTATTGAGTATTTTTCAGAGCATTCAAATTCTTTTTTAAGATCAAAATTGATTTTTATATTAAGTTTAGATCGGATGAAAGGCTGAAGCATTCTTATATCCACCAATTTCTGTACTTAGAATAACATAATATAAATGTCTGATTTTATATTTCCATTATCTACGTCAATGATTATTTTTTTTAATGTGGCACCTTGGTATTTGAATTCTGTAAATATGAAGGCTGGTGTAATAGGTAATTGTATTCTCTGAAATTCTCTAGTTAAATTTGAGCCATCCCTGACTATGTGTGTATATTTGTATTTTCTTACAACGGTATAAATTGGTATATAATTTGGAGGAAGGTTATCATAAGGATTCAGTGTGTAATCTAGAGCTTCTATAATCACATACTTAGAAGGCTTATTAAGAATGATACTATTTCTTTCATTAGTGGTTGTATCTTTTATTATCATCATCGTATTATTTTAAACAATTTTTTTCAGAATACCTTGTGCACTATTTACAATTCCATCGCTTGTACAAATATTTACAGTAAAGATACCTTAATTTTAATTGATAGAGGTAATACACTACACAAAGCATTTGATTTTGTATCTGATATGCTCAAAAATTTCTGTTTTAAATTATCGTGAATAGTTTTTTTTTGTATGTATCTTCTGCATAGATATAATAAACTAACTGGTTATAGTCTCTTGCATGTTTTATCATGTATTCGATATTGAGTTAGATTTATAGATCATTTCTTTAAACTAAATATATAGTATCTTTTCACTCTGTTATATCTATTTTATCAGCAGTTATTATATTATTGCAAAGAATTTTGCTTTGAGTTAGTGTTAATTGATTATTTCATAAATTATTTAATATTGCTGCATATGCAGGATCCTCAACTTGTCACATTTGTTTTTTCAAAATAATTATATTTTTGACTGATTTTCATAGTTCTTCACCACTAGTGCTTACTAGCATGTGGGTTTTAATCTAGTTCGTGTTGTTCATTTGATTTATTTTATTAGTAGTACGATATAAAGGAGTGTCTAGTACTGGGGAAGTTGCATAAAATCTCTGACAAAAAGTATATTTAAACCTGCAAATGGCAAGATGTCATCCTGGGGATATTTTGCTTTTTTTACTTGTGTGTTAAATCATGCTAAAAGTTTTTGCCCAATCATAAATATTTCATCAATGATGAGGTATTCTATTTTTTCCCAATGTTTTTGAAGCATTTTTTTTGGTTCTTTACAAATGAATTTATGTTCATAGTAATAACAATTATCATTATCAAATTTTAAATTGCACAATGAATGAAGTGTACAACCATGAATATTTGCTGCTACAAATCCTGTTGGTGCACAAACTTCAAGATTATGTCTTCTATTTATTCGTTCAAAATATTTGCAGATTGCCTTGATAACTTTTGATTTTCTAGTGCCTTTAGCACCACCAATGTACATTAACATTTGGGCTAGTCTGTTAGAATTATCAGGATAATTTCAATTACAGTAATTATACACAAGCATAAAGATTTTTTTTGCTCATTATTCAGTTCACTTGAAATTTCCAAAAGTAATTTTTTTTGGTTTAATTCTGTATTTGATTGCGAATTAATTGGTTTTTCTTTAGCATATACATATATTAAAAGTTCAGATATATATTTTTTTTCAGTTTCTAAATTATCTATTTGCTCTATTTGTTTTCTAGATGATATTTTTTTTTGCCATGTTCGAATTAAATCATTTTCATAGTCACATGAAGGTTGAATTTGATCATTATTATTGAAGTTATTTTGGTTACTTTCTATATTTTGAATTTTATTATTTAATTTATTTTTGAGAAATAAATGAATTATTGCATCATCTACAAATCTTATATTTTGTAATCCAGAGTACATAATAATGTATGAACTTAAAGGTGTTAATTTATTATTTATAAAATTATCTTGGTCATTCAGTATATCAATATCTTTATCAAGTGCTTCATAGTCAGTTGCTGAACTTTCTATTTTTCGAATCCTTGCAATTTTAGGATTTTTTGTTAACATTTGATGTAACTAATGATCTAATTCAGTTTCTTCTGTATCAATGGAGTAGTTCAATATTATTAATTATAGTTTGTAGTCTAGGTAATAATTTGAACTTTGTAAAAAGGCGTCACATGCTTCATGCCATGTTTCATAATTAATTATGAGATCGTTTGCAGTAGTCCATGGTTTGAAGAGTAGGAGAATGCAAAGTCCATAACAGTCTAAGTTTTTGATATCATCTTTATGTAGTAATTTTTTTCATAAATTATAGATATTCTTTCATTTTTACTGCACCAATGAACTTGCAAATGTGTAGAGTATTGTGGATGTATATTATCATAATTACATACTTTGTCATATATTTTTCTTTCACCTTCAAAAAAAAACTAATCTACTCTAGTTGTGCGGCCTTCACGTGTTTCTTGTCTAGAAATTTTATTTAATTCTATATCATCAATTTTTATTTTATAGATTGTTGTAACATAATTATATAAACACATATTTCTTAATTGTTCACCATGGTTTATATAATTGATACACAAGTTAGCTGCTATTAATGTTTTACTTGTACCAGATAGTGCAAACATTTCATCACTATCAAAATTGTCTTTTTTATTCAACTCATCTTTATCATTTTTCAATTCTTCTTTATTGAAACATGTAGGGATTATAATTATTTATATAAGCATTACATCTTTGAAGAGTAATTATTTCTAATTTCAGGTAAATTTTTTCTGGTGGTTCAACCAATTCACGTGGAAAGTCAAACTGATAGCTAGATAATCATCCACAGTATATTTTTTATATGAGTTTGTACATTTGTGAATTAACATATGCTTGGCAATAGCAAGAATATCTAGATGCAATTTTTCATCAAAGTCACATAACTGTGGGTCTAGAATTGAATGCATTCTTTTTTCTAATCTTGTCTTTGGTATTTTGTATTCAGCATATAACATTTCATTAGTTGAATAATCACCATTAGAATAAAGATAAGTAATATTGTCTTTAATGATTTCATTCACATAATTCATCAGCTGAGTTCTAAAACTTTCATTATTACAGAGAGATGATCTCGTAGTTTATTAGGATTTAGAGAACCTTGAAGCCAAATTATCATATAGCAATGGGGTGTGTCATGGTCATGATACTCAATTACCTATAATAATTTTTTATCTCACCTAATATACTATCTTTAGATTTTTCATATTCGAGAATATTATCAATTATATTCT